TTGATGATTTGCTAGTGGCTAGTACTGACGCTGCTGAACACGAGATTCACCTTCGACAACTCTTCGAACGACTCGACTCCTACGGCGTTATCATCAATGCCGCCAAATGTGAGTTCGGAGTCCCCAGATTAACTTTCTTGGGTCATGTAGCAGATTCTGAGGGAATCAAGCCTATCCCTGAAAAAGGTTCGGCCATATCAGCGTTCCCCGTCCCGACAACCATCAACCAACTACGCCGATTCTTGGGAATAAAATAAAATAAATAAAATAAAATAAATTTTTATTTAATGCCAGTTTACAGGCATTGTCAAAAGGGGCGATTAAACATAAATCCGACCGGCAGTGAAAAAACTCCTGAGCTTAAGGGATAAAAATATAGTTGATGGTGGTTTTTATGGTTTGGAGGGCTCAGGAGAGAAAACTGCCGGCGGTGGTAGAATATCGACCCTCAAGAAGGGGGGAGGTTGCACGGTATCGGAGATCATCGGACGTCAAATTCCTTTCATGAAGTTGGGGATAGTCAAAGTAGAGGCGTTGAGGAACAGCTGGTAAGACCGGCCATAGTGTTCAGAGACCACAAACGCCATCGCTACGGTAGAGTCGATCAGAGTTTTCAGCACCCAAAATTTGTGGGAGCTTTTCTGAATGCAAAAATCGAGTAATAGTTCTCTTAAATAAAGGATAATTTTGCAGAGTTTTCACACTCATGGGTAGTTTATTCCAAATAGCAATTACATTTACAGAAAAGAACCGACGATATTTAACAGTACGTGCCAGAGGCAGAAATAAAAAGACCTCACGGTGACTGTTACGGCGTGGGTGGTTATGATGTCTTAAAGAGGTGAGTGGGTTAAATGTGTGATTATCTAAGAGTTTAAATAGCAAAAATAGTCCCTTTTGTAATCTACGGAACAATAAAGGATCAAGGCCTGTAAGCCGGCAACGTTCTTGGTAAGACAAATGTCGGTGTTCTGGGGTTAAAATTCTCTTGGTAAAAAAGTGTTGAACGGATTCTATTTTCTTCCGCTCAGTCGCACGCATGAGGCTAAATGAAAACGAACAGTATTCCAGGCCAGGTCTAACGTACATGTTGAAAAGGCGCATACTGATGTCCCTAGTTTTAAAGTTTCGGAGGATAAACCCGGTCGTTCTGCGTGCTTTGGAGACTATCATGGCACAGTGCTCCGAGAGATTGAGACTCTTGGAGTATGATATGCCCAGATCCTTAGTTACCCTGGGCACATTTATTGCGTGACCTTCAATATTTAGTTGAGGTTGGCGGTCGTCGCCAACCACCATGACTGAGCACTTATGCCAAGAAAGGCCTTGCCTATTATCCTTACCAAATAAACTGGAATAAGGTAGAATTAATTGGTTTAGTCTACCAAAACGCTTATGAGTAAGGTAAATTATAAAGTAAGTAGGAGAATGCGGAATTAAGTCATACCAACGACGACCACCTGCTCGCTCAGAATACAGCTCTTTCGAGGTGGAATTCTGAGGAAAGGAAGAAATGCGGGAGTTCTATCCCTCCGCAGGAACGACCTCGTGAAATCTATGTACTGACCAGTTCTAAAGAACGACCATTCTTCAAGTTTGCCATTCACTGCAATGAAATTCACACCAATTACAGGCGACTGCGTCTTCGTACGGCGACCACCTCTAACGACACGAGGGAAAAGTTTTTTTGAAGCCGGGTGGTGATGCATTCCTGTGATGCTGCTGCTACAGTGCCTAAGCTTGTCTGGCGTGGCAAAACTGAAAAGAATTCTTTTTCTGTCAAGGACACATCGGCGTTTGCATACGCAAACCGGGTTTGCATCGTTTTTCAAGACTCACTCACTCGCAGAATGTAGCTGAGCAGTCAGAATTTGTCTCCCGTCCTGTGCCATGCCAACCCCTCACTGTAATCTTTTCAGGAGGCGCATAACGCTCTACTGCTGGTACATTTCACTTCAAGAAATTTTGTTCTCCCAACACTGGCTTAGAGACTTGTCATTGTCGTGCGTGAAATTTTGACCGTCGGGCCGAGGATTTCCACCGTATGTCCCACAGCGAGTTGAAGCAGGCACAGAGAATTGCCTTTGAATTATTTTTTGGTGAAAACAGACATGCGAAGCATCTACCGCGCTGTCATCTCGTTCCTTGCCCAGGCCCGGACCAAAGGGGAGAGGAAGGCGTAGGTGGATGGCGTGGCCGACTGTCATGCAAAATGCCCAACAGACTCACTCAGTGCGATCAGAGTCGTCCTCCTTTCCTCTTGCTGTGCGAAATCCTGGCCAATGTACGTTGTGCACCAGAGATGTGGTGTAGCTGAGGGTTTTCGCCGTACCAGCCACCCGCGCCCTCTCCCACCTCCTGTCTTCTTTACCTTGTCATGGCACCGGATCCAGGTTGGGAGGAGAGATTGCGGTAGATTTTTCGCAAGTCCACCACTACTATGAGATAACTCACACGCAAGTCACTGTCTCCGCTGTCACGCTGGTGTGGAGCACACTGTGGACATCGTCGGAAACGACGGCCAAACTTCTACCCAATAGACCATCACTCCATCTTTATAATTATGGCGACGACTGACAAGCTAATTATACTTTGGCAGTCCGTTTCGCGTACAAGCGCAAACGGTGTCATATAGAAGAGGAGTTGTCAGTCGTTCTGACGTCGACAAATAAAACAATAAGTGATTTCTACAGAAACCCTACGAGGAACACAACGTCCTCCTAAAAACGTCGCCTTTGAGCTCTTCTATCCCAACAATACAGCCGGATTGCATTCCCATTTAAAGAGACAGTTCAGAAACGATAGTAATGAAGACAAAGTACCGCACCCAGGGCTGGATAACCAATCATATACTAACTTTTAGCGGCTTATCTATAGTAATTGATGTATGGAAAGTTTTTAAAGGTCATCCACATCAACGAGGCATCCCCTTTCATGTTGCACGCCCAGAGAAGATGGTATCCTTTTGTTAAATTCAAGAATTCCAGTAGATTGCCGTCAACCCCCAGTGCCTATTTCTGACGAATGCCATGGTGAGATCATGGAAGCAGACGATCGTCTTCTGCTGCAGTTTATATTTCAGAACTCCTCTTAGGTTTAATGACACAGCTCCCCTGGACGATGGCTTCGTCAGAAGCAGTCGCCATGGCACCAGAAAATTGCCGGGGCAGCCGCGGTAGAAGCAACGTCATCCCACTCAGGAGGGCGGGCCAACAAGGCTCACTTCCTAGTTTTAGGTGACTAAATTAAGTGGAAAATTCGGAAACGTTCATTCGCATCTTTCGCGCAGACAACCCTTGCGCCAGGAAGACGTGTTGTATCCGTTAGCTAGGCACTCAATCATCTGGTCGTCCTGACTCTGTTTTGCTCCAGACCAGGACCATAAGGGATGAGACGGGGCGACGGATGCCGAGTAAGTCTGTCTTGCAACAAGCGTACTCACGCGCAAGTCACCGTTCTGCGCCCACCACGCTCTGGGACACACGATGGACTTTATCATTACAATGTTTGAATTCTAGTTGGGGAGAAGATCATTACAGGGCGGGTGAAAGTAAGAGCCATGTCAGTCTTAGATTAGCAGTCATCGGAAGTGGAAAACCTTCCGTCAACAGATTTCAGGTGTTACTTGTATACTTGTCCATCTACGCGGTTTGACTCTTAAGAGGCTGTTTTGGATACGAGACTTCACTGAAGAGTTATAACAACACTATTAACGTCTAAGTCGAAGTTTATATTCAGGTGCAGAAATTTCATTGTCATTGACTTGCAGAAGGTACTTCTAAACAAAAAGCTATTGTTTGCCACTGAAATCACATTTTTGGATATGCAGAATGCTACCCTTCTTGTCGGAAACAATTGCTTTTAGTTTCCATAATTTGACCAATATGATACAGCTGAACACGTACAGACATCCCAACACCTCGGATGTAAGCTAGAGCTATCTTTAGAAAGACGCCTGCTAAAGGATCGGTCGAATAAGGCAGTCTGCAAGCATTCTTGAGAGTTAGCATACGATAAGTTCGTCTGCTGGCTGACGAGGCGGACGCGGCTGTAACTTCCGGCATATTTAACGCACCCTCGCTTCCTAAAGCCACTGCGTCCCGGTGACAAGACATGGCCAGAAAGACCGGGGATTGGCCTGAGTTCAGCGGCTAACATGCATAAACAGTCCGTCTGCGCATGCAATATCAAAAAATGGTTTTCAACTCCCCATGCGTTAGTACAGCGCAATTGAACGAATGTTTACATGCAATTTGGCAAGCACACAACCAAGTTTCCTTTAGTCAGACCCTGTCCATGGTACAGAAACGTCAGCACACTAAAAAGTAAGTCAAATGAATCTTTTTCGTCCTGGAATTCAGCATTGGTAGGAAGGCCAATGAAGGTTAAACTTCACACACTACTGCAACGGCAAGCTGCCACTAACGGAAACAGGACATAATGAAGTCATTAAGATGAATGCGGTAGATTTTGATCTGTTAACTCAACATAGTCTTATGCGTAACCGTCTACTATTCTAAATTTATTTAATTAATCACAGCTGCGATAGACACGTTTATCAGACGTTTTTCGGACGTCGGATGGTCGGTGGATAAAATATTGCTAATATCCTAATGTTTTAAAACTTAAAAATATTTTAGTTTATTATAGACGTTTGACATCTGTATTTATTTGGTCTTTTCTGTTCCATTGTTTTTTACAACATTTAACATGCCTATGCATTTAATTTCGGTTCCCTGTGTTGGTTGCTCTACCTGCTACTGTCCTACAAGCTGACTCTTACCGTCCTTGCTAAGCACCCAAGACTCTAATTCAGGTTTTGTACCTGTACCAATTCTCCTAGGAAGGCATAAAAAGTCAAGAAACTGGTGGATTCCCGAAATAATTTCTACATCGATAAGACCTTTGAACTTTAGTTCCAAACCGAACTGTTCTAGCATTAACGGTTGTTTGTTTGAATCACTTTCCAAATAGTGCAGCGTGATTAGGGTAGTGGGATCATGGTGAGTCCTCCCATTTTATTGAAGTTTTCGACTTCCACACGCCTTCTGGCTTCATTTTGAACTCTAAATTTTCTCATCAGTCGCACAGAAAGTTTTCGGCACCTCGCCATGGCTCTCTCGGATTTACCCCGAAAAAGCGAAGCCGTCGTATCCGAGGGAAGTGCAAGGCTTTCCCTAAGGACAGACGATCTGCCCCGCCACACCTTACGGCTTTCATGGGTTTCAAGGCTGGGATGACGCACGTCGTTCGCGATGTTGACCGTCCGGGGTCGAAGGTTCACAAGAAGGAAATTGTCGAGCCTGTAACAATCCTCGAGTGCCCTCCCATGGTCATCGTCGGCATTGTCGGCTATATTCAGACGGCCAAGGGCCTCCGCACCTTCAAAACTATCTGGGCAGAACATCTGAGCGAGGAGTGCCGCCGCCGATTTTACAAGGATTTCTGCAAATCCAAGCGAAAGGCCTTTACGAAGGCGTCAAAGAAGTGGGCAGACGAGGCTGGCCTCGCTGCTATCAACCGTGATCTGAAGAAAATGAAGAAATACTGCACGGTCATCCGCGTTATTGTGCACACCCAGGTACTTTCTTAGTTGAGCCTAATTCGTGCTTTTAAGATGCGACTCATGAAGCATCGCCAAAAGAAGGCGCACATCATGGAAATCCAAGTGAACGGCGGCACCGTCTCCCAGAAGGTTGACTGGGCCCGCAGCCATCTAGAAAAGCAAATTCCAGTTGCCAATGTTTTTTCACAAGACGAAATGATCGATGTCATTGGTGTTACCAAGGGCAAAGGATTTAAGGGCGTAACTTCCCGTTGGCACACTAAGAAACTGCCGCGGAAAACTCACAAGGGTTTGCGAAAAGTTGCTTGCATTGGCGCTTGGCATCCCGCCCGTGTTGCCCGCTCTGTCGCCCGCGCTGGCCAGAAGGGTTACTTCCACAGGACTGAAATGAATAAGAAAATATACCGCATCGGTCTTGGTATGTTTCAGCTTCCTCTCATACTTCTCAGGTATCCAAGCTCAGGCCGAAGCCGCTAAGATGGAAGCAGCCAAGGAGGAGAACAAGGAACTAGCAGCTCTCATCAAGCCTAAGGGCAACGCTTCGACTGAGTATGATCTGACGGCCAAAAATATCACGCCTATGGGCGGCTTCCCGCATTACGGAGAGGTGTTAAATGATTACGTCATGCTTAAGGGATGCATCATGGGTCCGAAGAAGCGTGTCATAACCCTTCGGAAGAGTCTTCTCCAGCAGACCAGCCGTCGCGCTACTGAAAAAGTTGTACTGAAGTTCGTCGATACCTCTTCCAAGTTCGGTCACGGCCGATTCCAGACTCGTGCCGAAAAGAAGGCCTTTATGGTAATTATATTTTGTTCAGATTCTTACTTATTTTTCATCTTCTAGGGACCTTTGAAAAAGGACTTGGAACGGCCGAAAGTTACTGCATAATCTGTGAAATACATTTGCAAAGGATGTTCTATTTCTGATCTTGTTTGGCGTTTGGTGCGCTTTCTCGGACATGCTTTGGGAGTGGACCTGATTTTTCTCCAATAGAATTGGCCGTCGGCGCCATCTATACTGCATTCCGAGTGCTATTTTGCGGTTTTAGAAACACGAACTGGTTTTCAACGCGATTGGCGTATGGCCATATCGTGCAAACACCAGTTAAATTGACCGTTTTCTCCGAAGCCACTGGCGGCGAGTCAGTGGTCCATCGAAAAACAAACAAACGCTTTATTCGAAGCCTAATCTAAATGCCTCGATAAAGTGTCCTAGAGCGCCTTCGGCCCCTACGCAAGCCGAACGTTCTTGATTTCTGACGGAAGCGCTCTGTCGTCTCTGACGGATTGAAAAAGATGAGCGGTCACGCGCGTGTTGCCAAATGTTAGGTAATCGCTTTCTGCTTTAATTGTCACCAGGCGCCGATTTTTCATTTGATCTGCGGCCGGTGTTGCCTTAACTACGATAAACCAAAGAATTGTCTTTTGGCCGACAGGCTTAGTCCTACGGTAGGTTATTATCCAAATTAGGGAAACGCGTGTTTTCTGGCGCACGAGCCATGTGTCGCCACAATTCTAGTTATATACCATCGGGCAAGTTGCGCGAGGCGACCCTGTGCTAGGAGGGGGAAACCCACCTGAGGACCCTCATCGACATCCAGCTATGGAGGCGCCAGCTCGGTGCCTCCGAGTAGGCATTGAAGGTTTATGGCTTGCGCGACTTTCGGGTTACAGATATCGAGCATACCGCGGCTGTCGCCGATGGACTTGCTACCAAGGTGTCGCGGTCGCCCTGTGATCTATAGAAAAATGGCGTACGCCGGGAACCGCGGTGATTGCGGATGTCGCCCATGCGCCCCACTGGTGCTGTTGTCAAAATTTCGGCCTACGCGTACGTAAAACGTTGGATGATGACACTCAGAAGAGGCTCTGAATGACAGGCTCCGGACTAGCAAACCTATCTACGCGTGACCCGTTTGCGGGAAATTTGAGGTCTGCACGGGGGAGGTGTAATACCGGACCTCGGCAGCTACGCAATAGGGAAGCCTCCCACAAACAGTGGAAGATTGCTGACGCGATGAAAGCGACGGTTTGGAGATTCGTGATTGCGGCGCGTGGGTCTGAAAAACTAGAAAATCCAGTTTATTCTTGGTTAGCACAGCCCGTGAAAACGAAGGGCAGATCCAGTTGTTGGTAGCTAGCTAATCAAGTTGTTTCGTAAAGCTTTTATTTCGGGCAGCTGGACACGGGTAGCATCTTCCGTGTCGTAGTCCTCTCCGCAATCTGGCACAAGGGAGCACATGCGGGCAGGGGTGGCGCCTATCCCTGTGTCCGTGTCTTACAGCAATTGACGAGCCATGACGTCAGCTCAAGAACCAAGTCAGATCGGACGGTCAGAGCGGTCGGTAACGCAGTGTTGGCTGGCTTTCGAGACGATCTCATCGACCACTTTTGTCGCTTAATCGAAACATCTGGAGGAAACGTCCCCGGGTGGGGTTAGATGCGGCTTGGCTGACGACGCTTCTGGATTTGCGTGGGACTTAGTAGAAGTGCCGGTTTTTCCCTGAAATGGGCTAACCAGTGGATACGCTGGACCAGTAGCCTGACACCCAAGATTAGGTGCTTGATGGCACAGCGAGGTGCAGGCCCGGACAATCTGTGATCCGGGTCGCCTCCTCTTGTGTAAAATCCTGGCAAGTCGCACGTTGTCGACCAGGCGATTTGGTCGCAAGTCTGAGTGCAGGTTGCAACAGTCAGCCACCTAAACCTTCATTCGTCTCTGGTCTCGACCCTTTAATCACATCGGACCCGGGTGCAGGAGGAGAGAGTGCGCCGGATGCTGCGGAAGTATATTATTAACACAAACGAACGCACGTGCAATTTACTGTCAGGGGGACCAGCCCTCTAGTTCGTGTGCACTAGGTCGGATGCTTCGTGGTGTCAGGCTCGACAATGGCTTAAGGAGCAATTTGACTAGCTTAGAGGACCCGACAGACTCGGTTCACTCTGGGGACACCCTGTCCCCCGAGTACGGCTGCACCCGTCTTGATTGAACACCAACACTCGTGGTGGGGGGTTATTTCCCAACTAGAATATGCATGCTCCGTTCCACGATGTTGGCTGAACTGTCCGGTGGTATTCCGACCAATTTTGGGGAACAGACACCGGCGCCGTCGCTACTCCGGTGTTAGAGATGGATGGCAGCTAGTTGCGCAAGACCTACTGCAGCCGAGGTGTCTGACATTGGTACGCACTCCTCCAGTCAGCGTTCTGTCGGGTGAAGCGCTGCTGTGGCCGTCGCTCGTTGGGCTGCCCGCCCCCAGGCGTCCTGATTGGTTGCGCAAATTTTTGAAGACTGTGGCTCAGTCGATCTGGTATTTGACAGCATCCACTGCCTTTGTCACTAGCACACCACGGCGACTACCCCTCCTAATAGTAACGTTCAGAATTTAGCAGTGAGGAGTGAGAGCTTATTCACGGTTCCTCGTGGTTAGAATGCTGTACGGTGTTGACAATCAGAAACTCATGTTTGCGCAGGCATTAAATCAGTTGCCGCAGTTCCCCATTCCTTGCTGACCGAAAAATTCCAGGCGGCATGGTCTGTATCCACCAGTGCGCTGAAGTCGCTGAGAATGGTCAACGTACTCCACGTGAGGAGGGTGTGTAGATACTATAATGACATCTTCACGAAACCGGGACTTTGCATTCTGGAAACGTAGGTGCTGATAAAGGCGGGAAGTTTTTTCCTGTAGAGCAGAGGCCGCATGACGGTGGCTCGATCGTTGATTCAACACGGAAGGTGGATGACAGTCCCCTAGCGACGTAGTTTTTGATCAGGAAGGTGGCTTCACCATTTTACCTTTTTTTCCCAATAACATGTCCAGACGATACACCGTACCGCCATCTCGTTCAGCTGTTCTTAGAACCGGGTCTGGTTGAGGACTGTGGTGCCAGGGTCACATATAGTGAACCAGCGACCGGCCTTATTCCCTATCGATTGGTCGGTTGGTTGTCGGGAATGGGGCAGACAGTCCAGACCAGCGTAAACGAGCGACAACTTGTGCCGTCAGGTATCGGGAACACGAGTTGTTTCGCGTTGTTGCGACTGCGTTTTTTACGCCCACTAGCTTGATGCCTGGGCGTTAGGTGTAGACGGAAACCAGAGTTGCAGACTAACCGACCATTGAGGAGGATTACCACGCCGTCTATGCTGGATCAATCGCAGACTGGAGGGGGACTTAACGTCAGGGTCTGGATTTTTCACAACCCCCAGTCTGGGTTTCGGACCAGCAGCAAAAGTCGTACTGTCGAAGGCTGCACATCTTTCGCACAGCCCAGCATTATCTTTTTGGACATCTGTCTTTATGAAACTTCATGAGAAGCTCAATCATAGGTCGAATCTCAGCAGCTGGTCTGATCGTTTGTTCTAGGTTGTCTGCTCTAGGCTAGCGGTGGCAAAAAGACTTCCTCGATGGCTGTCCACGCTCACAGTGCCGACATCGGTCTCTGCTGTATTTCACGGGTGCATTCGGTGCGCCAGATGTCAGTCCCCGCGCCCCAGTAGTACTGATCCGCCGAATGTAAACCCGCCTCGCTGCGGGCGTTTCTTCATGCGTAATATGTGGACTTGGCGGTGAGCAAAGTGTGAAGCTAACTGGCAAACTCGTTCCCCTGGTTGAGTGAGTGTTTTCGCGAATGCAGGCTTCCGAATTGTCTCCTTGAGTGAGTCGCCCAAAACTATTAAGTGGCATTTGTTGGCCCGCATCCCTGACTAGGACAGCGATGGCTCCACTGTAGGTGCCCCGCAGTTTCCTGGTGTTGTTGCGACTGTTTCTGACGAGCTGCGTGACCTATTCTGAGACCGGTTTTGGAGCAGAAGATCCTTGTTAGCTTCCCTGCTCTCACTGCGACGTCCATTAGAAATGCCTGTTCGCGGTTGACGATAATCCCCTGAAACGTCTGAATTTGGCAAACGAATACCGCCTGTTCTGGACATGCCACAAGGAGGATGCCTTGTTGTCGTGGGAGCCCTTCAAAAGCTCTCCTTCCCATCAATTACCTTAGCTTGTGCGCTAAAATTTGGTAGATGATAAGTTGTCCAGCTCTTGGTGTCGCACATCGTCTTCCTTACCATCACTTTCCTAAATATCCTAGCTGTATTGTTGGGATTAGAGAGCTCAAAGACGGCGTTCTTTATGAGGTTGTATTCTCCACAGGTCTTCAACGGAGGTCACTTATTGTCGTGGTTGTCGACGTCAGGACGACTGACAGCGTTTGTGCCTGTGCGTGAATTGGACTGCTGAAGCATAGTGTGCTTGTTAGTCATTGACGTTGACCAGGATTTTACACAACAGGAGGAAAGGAGGACGGCTCGGATCGCAGTGAGTGG